TTAATAGCGTAGTTGATGTGAATAATAAACGTGATGGTAATGATAGTGGAATCACTATAGGTAGTGCTGTTTCTTCGGTTGATGTCGCTAATGTAGCTTCTTTGAGTACTTCGGATCAAGACGAAATTGGATGTTTGAGCATGGAGAATGTAGGCGTCGGTGGCAATAGCTTTAGCCACAGTGATGGCAGTACTGTGAGGGCTAACATTCCTTACCCTAGGTGCCATGAGGAGTCATCTAGCTTTGGTGGACATGCTATTGTGTTGAATATGCAGCATGAGGAATCGTGCACGGAATTCTCCTCCTGTCGCACTCCACCATCATTGACTTGTACTACAAGCTTCGGGATGAGCACTACCAACAGTGATAAGATAGAAGAGGCTAAGAGCATTCCTATTAAGGAAAGCAATGTTGATCGAGCAGAGTTAGCCACTGTGCATGAGTCGACTGGATGTCATGAGAAGTGTACTACTGCTTGTTCAGATGCGGCTACTAATGATAATAGCATTGATGATACTTCTGCGAGTAATAGTGATCGATGGAAGTTGAAAGACACTCGTCTTCGTCGAAATGATCGTACGTTACGCTCACATACTGCTACCCAAGCTAAGAAGTATAAGAAACAACATGATGCTACCATAATTAAGAAGCGTAAACTTCGTTCTCTTTCGGATGCTATGACTAGCAATGGAAATAGTAGTCATCAGAATCTTAGTAGTGACAGCGATAGCAAAGAGACAGAAAGTGTGAGCAATCCATCGATAGTGACTAGTCGATCAACTTCATCGAATGAGCCTTCTAGTGTTTCGACGTCATCAGACCCTACCGTGAATGTTAAGTTGATTGAGGATACACAAGGTTGTGTAACTGTAAGTGTTCCTACTTCGGTTGACTGTCAGTCAAGTGATGATGAGAAGGAAGCGTCTGATGGTAACAGTCAGTCTACAGTGTTGCATGATAACGATGCTATTGATGTGCATATGTCTTGTGTTTCTGAAACGGAACATGAAGAACAACAAGTGAGTTTATCGGTCTTGGATTGTGACACTAATGCTGTTCTTTCATGTAGTGATATAAGTTATACAAAAATGGAAGAGTTCCACTCTACGGATGCTAGTGCAGACCGAATCGACGCGACTTGTCTGACAGGACGGAATCATGATGACGTTGATAATAATCTGGATGTCACTGATGTGACAAACAAGTTACCGACGATGACGAATGCTGACCAAACCTCCTCTGTATCAGGAGATGGAGAGATAAATATTGATCCCATGTTATGCTACTTAAAGTCTTCTGGAGACGAACAAATGTCAAATTTGGAGATCCCACCCTTGCATATTATCTATGGGTCAAGAACTTCTGTTGATAAGTCAGCTTCACGGACTTCATTGTATCTGCTGATCGGAGCAAGTGGTGGTGGATTGACGACTCATCCCCATGATAGGGAATGTAGTTCCCGGATAGGATATGACCAGTTTTACGACGTGTTGTACATGTTCGTGTGGGTTAATTGGGTAAGGTTTATACTACCGTTAGGTCATGCTACGATAGATAGGGGAATCAAGGGCCTGATGGGAAGGTATACTTACCTAGTTAGCTTGATAGGTCATATCCATGTTGGAGAGCGGGTAGGCGTACTGCTGTAAGTCCTACACGCTCTTCCGGTGTGGATTAGGGGATGAGTGGGAACCCTAAATTGAAGTGTCATTAACGCTTGCTTTTTTGCATGGAGGGATTTTGCGGGCCGGTGTAGAATCCTTTTTGAATGTTTTGTTTTTTTGGAAAATCCCTCCATGTTTACATATTTTTGTTATGACATGACGGACTCTTTCTGTTGACATTTTTGGTATTTTATTTGATTCCAGTTTGAGATTTTATCATTGTATATTGTTATTATTTCTATATTTTGTACTTATATTGAAGTTTTTGTGTTTGCTTCTGAACTGTATATATGTTGTTTAAATTTGATATTTAATATGGCTACAGCCATATTTGGATTGATACGGTAGCTGTTGGACTTAACGTCACTTATTCATCTTTGTTTTGGATACTCTTCGGAGTAATTGTAACCTGGCAGGTGCATCAATTCCAGGTATTGCTTTGTATTTCCATCCTTTAATATAATACAGACCGTTTTCTCCTAGAATTTTTGCGTTTTCTGGACCTTGAATTGGGAGATACGCGTTCGGGTTGCACTTATTGGAAACCATTTGAACTGCTACGGTAGAAATCCATTTACACAGACCAGCAACTTTTCTCCTAGCTTTCTGCGAAAAACTTTTTTTTCTTATTCTCCGTATTGAAGTTAACTGTTTTCCGGCCCAGTTAAGTGATACCTGCTGGTATTCATAAACCCTACCTCCCTGAAACAAATGCGCCCACCCAAAACACGTGACTCAGAAATTCATCAGGAACTGTGAACTGACTAGAATTAGTGCAGTCGACTGTCCAGACTCAGAACTAAATCGGCCATATCTGTATCAACAACAAGTTCAGAAGGACTATGGATGATGTCAGAACCAAGAGAGGAGCTGATATAGCCTCAGACCACCACTTTCCGGTCGCTAAAGTAACTACGTTACAAGAGTCACGCCAGTTTACAGGCTAGATCAAATTGTCACAAATGCTTTCACAATTACTATAAAGTTATAGCAGTTAAATTAAGTATAAGAGTCATTTTCTGATTGCATATTTACACCATGTCACTGACAGAAACAGTATTATACAGCCACATTTTCAATAGATGAGTACAAATAAGGAAGGAAGGTGCACAATAGGTTCTTTTGGCGATTTGCCGAGATCAATAGTGAATTTGTTGGGAAAGGTCATATGGAACGCGCTTGATACGAGCTGTGATCCAGAAAGTCGTGCAACTCAAAAAACATCATCACACAAGTTTAATAGAGCCTTCCTTCGGGATACTTCAACATGTCAGGAGGTCCTGGGTCACAAGAAGCACCATCACAAGGATTGGATCTCTGTTAGTTCTCTTGAAAAAATTGAAGAAAGGAGAAACAAGGGGGTAGCAATCGATTTCAGTCGAACAAGAGCAGAGGAAATTGAGGCACAAGCTGACTACACAGAAGCAAACAGGATAGTGAAGAGCATCAGAGCCGACAAACGAAAATATGTGGAGGATCTAGCATTGATGGCGGAAAGGGATGCAAGAGAAGGAAACTTGGGACAATTGTACCATACAACAAAGAAGCTCGCTGGAAACTATCTTAAACCAGAACGACCAGTGAAAAGCAAGGAAGGCAAAGTAATCAGCATCACTGAAGAACCGAGAAACAGGTTGGTAGAGCACTTTCAGGAGCTCTAGAATCGAGCAGCTCCACTGAACCCACCCAAAATCGAAGCAGCATCCAAGGGCCTCCCAATAGATGTTGGCGCACTCACAACTGAGGAGATCAGCATGGCCATCAGAGAAATGAAGAGCGGCAAATCAGCAGGACAAGACAACATTCCAGCAGAGGCAATGAAAGCAGATGTAGAAGCAACTGCGAAAATATTTTACATCCTCTTCAAGATCTTGGATGAGGAACAATTAACATCAGATTGGAAAGAAGGATACCTCATCAAAGTACCAAAGAAAGGCGATCTCAGTAAGTGTGAGAACTACAGAGGCATCACTTTTCTTTCAACACAAGGACTTCGTAGACTCCCAACTTCGGGACGAACAGGCTGGATTTCGTAAGGATCGATCGCGTACTGACAACATTATGGACTATTGTGGAACAATCAAATGGACGGAACTCACCACTGTACATCAACTTCATCGACTACGAGAAAGCATTCGATAGCGTGGATAGGAAAACACTGTGGAGGCTTGTTCGACACTACGGTGTGCCTGAGAAAATAGTCAACATCATACGGAACTCTTATGATGGATTCAACTGAAAAATCGTACACGAAGGACAGCTGACAGACTCGCTCGAGGTGAAGACCGGTGTCAGGGTAGGTTGCTTACTCTCACCCTTTCTCTTTCTCCTGGTGGTCGACTGGATTCTGAAGACGTCAACATCTGGAGGGAAGCACGGTATTCAGTGGGGAGCTAGGACACAGCTGGTAGATCTGGACTTCGCAGATGACCTGGCTCTTCTATCGCACACTCAACAACAAGTGCAAGAGAAGACGACCAATGTAGCAGTAGGTTTCAACATACATAAAGGATACACCCTCACATGCGCATGTGAGGGCGCGGATAGGCAAAGTAAGGGTTGCATTTCTACAGTTGAAAAATATCTGGAACTCCAAACAACTTTCAACCAAAACTAAAATCAGCATTTTCAATACAAATGTCAAGACAGTTCTACTGTATGGAGCGGAAACATGGAGAACTACCAAAGCCATCTTCCATAAGATACAAGTGTTTATTAACAGCTGTCTACGCAAAATACTTAGTATTCGTTGGCCAGACACCATCAGCAACAACGAACTGTGGGAGAGAAAAAACCAGATTCCAGTGGAGTTGGAAATCAGGAAGAAGTGGTGGAAGTGGATTAGACACACACTACGAAAAGCACCTAACTGCATCACAAGACAAGCCCTCACGTGGAACCCTCAAGGTAGAAGGAAAAGAGGGAGGCCAAGGAACACATTACGCCGAAAAATAGAGAAAGATATGGGAAGAATGAACAAAAATTGGGCAGAACAAGAAAGGGAAGCACAGGACAGGGTTGGTTGGCGAAAACTGGTCGGTGGCCTATGCTCCATTGGGGGTAACAGGCGTAAGTAAGTAAGTAAGTACTGTCCAGACTGCCATCAATTAGACATTATCGAATATCCGGAACCCTACTGAAAGGACAAGAATAGAGCGCAAAGAAATCAACTGGTTTATGCTAGCGCATGGAAAAGATATTGAACATTGGGTGCTTAATAATTTTGACTCACAGAATCCGTAGTGAATATATATGACACTTCTAAAGATAACTTCTATTTTAAAATTATTCATTTCATGGACTGGAGCAGAATGAAAAAAGTATTGGATATTTAAAGTGGTGTGTAGCGTTGATAATCACATGTTCGTGCTGCACAGGGCGGACCGGATACTTCAGTTCGGCTTATTCGGCAGGCGTATGGCTAGCACATCCTTCGTTAAAGAAGGCTCTGCGGAAGTCCTGCTCCCAGATGCCGTGTTCTACAACCCTGTACAAGAATTTAACAGAGATCTTACAATAGCTGTGGTAAATCAGTATGAAAAATTGTACAGAAGAGAAACTATTCTGAAAATGAAGAGCAAAACGAATGGTAGGATTCCTTTTGATGACTGTTAAGCATTTATGCCAAAGAGTTTCCTAGTCTTCCTTGTGGTCTAAAAATATTAGAGGCATTAGCAGCATCAGGAATCAGGTCTATTAGAATGGCTCTCGAGGTTTCGAATGTATCTAGTATTATTGCCAATGATCTTAGTCCAGAGGCTGTTGTTTTGATACAGAAGAATGCAGCTCATAATAATGTAACTAATATTGTTAATACAGCCTGCAGTGATGCTGTCGACCTAATGTATCAACATCGGCTGTCAGATAAAAGGTTTGTTTTCTCTAGTGTTTGTTTAGTTCATAAATAATCATGCAATATACTCGCATCTAAGTCCCAAAGATAACGTGATAACGAAATTTGACAGAGCTCTACATCTGTAAGTTCTGAATGTCGTCGTACAATTTTTGCGCTCAGCAGATTGAGCATCAACTGGAAGGTAGTCGAAAAAAGTAAGAGCAAAGCGCACTACATCCGAATATGAATTAAGCAAGATATTTATATTTTTCCTGTTGTATATCTATTCGACACCAGAAAATTTCTTCAGTTTACATCTAGAGATACGAGTGTTTTTAAAAGCAGTAGGATTAGCTCTAATGTATGAAGAAGGTTCTTAAAATGTTTTACAAGGGAAGTATTTTATCATGCACATTCATGTTTCGTCACCCAAGCTATTGGTGAATGTCGAATATAAAATTTGACTTGCTTTCAACTTGTAGAACGCATATACGTGCTTAAAATTTTACAAAACAATCTAGTAGTTAGTTGATATTAGTGTAATTCTCCAATTAATGGCTTCATTGTTAGCTTGTGTTCTGTCAATGTATTTCATGTGATTCAACTTTTTCTGACTTCTGCTAGGTTTAATGTGGTTGATATTGACCCGTTTGGAACAGCAAGTCCGTTTTTAGACTCAGCCGTTCAGTGTTTACATAATGGTGGACTTCTTTGTGTTACTTCAACAGATATGGCTGTTTTGTGTGGAAGCACTCCTGGAACTTCAATGGGAAAATATGGTGGAATGGCCATCAAAACAGGCTCAACACATGAAGTTGTAAGTTTTGAATCCGTAGTCACTCTAAAATGCTAATCCTCGACTAATTTCGTTTGGCTTTACTTCCCGGTTATGATTCTATCACTTATGCAACCGATGAAGAAAGCCACATAGAAACAAATATTTCTGTTTAAATCTAGCGATTTTATGCCTCATTCCACTTAAGATGCACTATCAGTAAACTTATTTTGGTACTAATTATCGCCAGTGTTTCCGGTTATTTTTATGATTTATTCGGATTCAGGAAAATTCCGAACTCATTAGTGATTATATGCACTAATAGCATCTTAGCAAACTTTACATTCTCTTACTAGCACAAGTGTATAGCTGTTAGAATCCAATTAATACCACACTTTTCACTATTGGTCTTATCAAATAGCAGTATCGATTATATCAATCCACAAAGCCATACTCTATTTGTTCTCTACAAATGTAACTATTTGAACCACACCTTAATGTGCTCGAAAAACTGTTCACTTGAATTTTAAACATTATCAAACCCAATCTACTGTCAGTGACGAACTTTAAAGACTATCGGATCATAGTGCTCCTGACCAACTATGGATTATGCAGCTGGATAATATCTCCTCCCTTAAAAGTGTCGATGAAAACGAGTTATAGAATTACAAGGACTGTACAGTTATTATCTGGCTACGTGGATTCAATAACTTTTGTTTACATGCCCTCAGACCAACTAAACTATAGCTTTTTAGTGCCTCCACATGTATTCCAGTTCGCTTACATTTAATTTGGTTAAGCCCTTTCGATTAATTTATTTAACCAAGCCATTTGTATTGCAACAATTTATATGTACCATTCGTTCTTATTATTGTCTGGTTTTTATGAGCTCATGTGACCTGTCCCACTTGTCTTTTGACCTTGTCAACCATTCGTCGCTTTTATTCATGTGTGTGCATACCTATTTCGTTGGTCACATGTCTGTCTTATTTTTGTCTGACTATATATTATTAGTCATGCTCTATCTCACAGAGTTGGCTCATTAGCCTTCTCCAAAGCGCTTCGCCTGTTCATTGACTTCCTTCGCCCATTCGTTCTCATTGTAATTCTAGGAGTTGGCTCAACAGCCTTCTCCAAATCACGTCGGGCTCACTAATGTAGCTGTTGGGATGATTGCCAGGTGAGAACTCCCAAACGAATCGAAACCAAGAATAATCGCTTTATAGAATAACGATATTTAGTGATCAGATGTCGCGTAATATCAAAATGATATCACGTATACAGCCAGACAGTGAGATAACTCGAACGATCAATTCAGCCACAGGATTGGCAAAGTCGGAGCTTGAGTTATCTCACTGTCTGGCTGTACACGTGATATCATTTTGAAATCACGCGACTTCTAATCAATAAATATCGTTATTCTATAACGCGATTATTCTTGGTTTCGATTCGTTTGGGAGTTTTCACCTGGCAATCATCCCAACAGCTACAGCTTTATGCTTGGTTCCTCACCGAGTGATTCCCTAATAGCCAACTCAAAGTAGTATTTTAGTTGAATAATTATGCTGCACAATGGTTTGGGAATAGTATGGACACTCGAAAAATACAATTGCCAGTCCAAATAAAAATACTTAAGCATTACACCCACTTGTACAAGGTTATTTGCTTAGACTTATGGGAAGCACTTCTCAACAACTAAATCCAATCTTGAAATTTTGAGCTCTGAATTAAAAACGCCTTACCAGCCTAAATCAGTTTCCAAATACTCAACCACATTTGGTCGTTGTTTTATTTATTTCCATGTAAAATATTCAGCTTTTGTTAGCGTTGTTTAGCCAGGTCCTTCTTTATGAAATCGTGTTGCTAACCCCGTGTCAAACCCTCCTTAATCTGGGCTTGGGACCGGTAATGAATCTAGAAAGGCCCCTGGTGGATAAAACATACATCGCAAAACGAATAAACCGCGTCACAAGGCAAGCTGTAACTTGGAATCCTCAAGGCAAAGAGGAAGATCAAGAAACATTCGAGGCAGGAATCAAAAAAATTGAGGAGCATTAAAGAATAACTGTAACGGAGGGTTCAAGGCAGTCTTTTAAGGGAACCCTAGTTGTTAGCCTATGATACAAGATAGGTAACAGGCGTAATAGTAGTAGTATTAGTATACTCAGTTTGTGAGCTACAGCTGCACTGAGGTAGCTGCGGTGAAGTTTGATTGAAGACTTACTATCTTACTTGTCTGATGTATAGTGGTTTGTCCTATAAGCTAGCGAGTTTTGGACAAATTGTTTGAGGATATATTATCACTCTAATATCATTCAAAGTACCTCATATGCTTGACAATACCCATATCCCTCCCATGTTCCCATTGTCCTTTATCCCTCTGGAAGTTCTTGAGGTCAAGTAAAATGAATTTGTCTTACATAATCATAGTTAAATTTCTAGGTTTTAAAATGTGATAAGACTTACAATGAGCCTTTATTCTGTCAATATTTTGCACTTAATAATCACAATCATTTCATTTCCTAGAATCCTCTTTTTAAAAGATAAAAATCTACACCCATGAGGCTCGTCCTAAGACTTCAAATAATTTATGGACTAGATTTTCTATTTAAAATCAAATTAAACCTTCCAAATTAATAAACCAAGCTAATC